TATATACTTTTAGAATTTCAATTGAATTGGATATAAACTATAACTGATCATTATAATATATTTAATTGACATAAGTTATGGTATAGTTAAATTATAGATGTTATACTAATAAAAAGTATATTAAAAATTAAAACCATTGATATCTTTACAGAATACAAAATTATATATGATATTGGATGGGTAATCGGCCGATATCAATTTAATATTGAAAATATCGGATTGGCCTCCAAAAAGTGGTATCGGTACACCCCTAATAAGTTGATTTCTGAAATCCATAATCAAATAAAGCACAAAATTCTGATTTACCCATCGTCAAATAAAGGACAAGTTATTCCCCATTATTCTTGACTGGTTATCAGCTAGTATGTAATCCCCCACTAAAAACTCCATATTAGTAAGAAATTGTCTTTAAAAATAATAAGTGGGTCATTCCACGTCAAATCGAACAAAAAAACGCGATTTTCGGACGACCATCTTTAAAATAAACGAAACTTGGCATGATAGTTATTTATTTTGTATATTTTTGTAAATTCTAAATTTTAGAGTGCTAGCTCAACCAAATCCAAAGATATACGCCTTCAAAGTAGAGAATCGCATAATGCTTGATTTCTTAAATCTTGCTTAAAAAATACTTAAGATAGAATTACAAATAATATATCACTTAATAGCCCTTAAAATTTTACATTGGAAAATATTAAAAAATTTTAAGTGTTTTTGTATTTCCGGTAAAAATAAAAATTTAACATTCCTGGAAAGGGATATTTTTTTGGTGTTGATACTCTCTAAAAATGTTTATTACCTTTATATTAAACTATTTAATGAAAAATCTCGATAGCCATTTTTGTTTTTTTTATTATTTTTATAAATAAAAAAGGATAATATAGATGGCGTTATATTAATTTTAATAATAATATATTTAATTTAATAAAAATATGTTTTATATCGGTATTAAAATCAAAAGAAATCGATTAAGTATAACCAGTATGATGTCCTGGGGCAATAAATGAGGAAGCGGCCCATATAAAGATACTTTAAAATTATATTCAAGCTATTATAAAAATATATCTATTTATCGCAATCCATTTTGCGCTTAAATAGAAATTCTTGAGGCCGTAATTTGTATATATTTCACACTTCTGGATCTACTATCGTTATTATTTGAAATTAAAGATTTTATCATCTTATTTTATTTTTCATTCCTTTCTTTCTATTAAATTTTTATATCGATAAATAGGAAATTTAATTATCAATCATGATTGAAAAGATGATAAAATCTTTAATTTCAAATAATAACGATAGTAGATCCAGAAGTGTGAAATATATACAAATTACGGCCTCAAGAATTTCTATTTAAGCGCAAAATGGATTGCGATAAATAGATATATTTTTATAATAGCTTGAATATAATTTTAAAGTATCTTTATATGGGCCGCTTCCTCATTTATTGCCCCAGGACATCATACTGGTTATACTTAATCGATTTCTTTTGATTTTAATACCGATATAAAACATATTTTTATTAAATTAAATATATTATTATTAAAATTAATATAACGCCATCTATATTATCCTTTTTTATATATAAAATATATAAAAAAACAAAAATGGCTATCGAGATTTTTCATTAAATAGTTTAATCTAAAGGTAATAAACATTTTTAGAGAGTATCAACACCAAAAAAATATCCCTTCCCAGGAATGTTAAATTTTTATTTTTACCGGAAATACAAAAACACTTAAAATTTTTTAATATTTTCCAATGTAAAATTTTAAGGGCTATAAAGTGATATATTATTTGTAATTCTATCTTAAGTATTTTTTAAGAAAAACAAGATTTAAGAAATCAAGCATTACGCGATTCTCTACTTTGAAGGCGTATATCTTTCGATCTGGTTGAGCTGGGACTCTAAAATTTGGATTTTATTAACATTTACAACATAAATAACTAACATGCCAAGTTTCATTCATTTTTGAGATGGTCGGCCGAATCACTGGTCGATTTGTCATGGAATTACCCAAGTAGGACCAAATGGTTATCCAATACACTCACCTATTATAGGCCTGGGCCAGGTATTTTTTTAAAAAATTTTTTTAGACCTAGCCCAAGTATATTAAAAAAAATTCTTAGACCTGCCCCGAGTATATTAAAAAATTTAGAATATGGACCAGCCTGTGTACCCAGCCTTAGCTTGGGGCCAGGCCTGCAGGTCTCTGAAATATATTGAACATACATATGTATTGCCCTACATAACCTTCATCTAGCAAGATTAAATTATTAGGTTATAAATTATAAATGTATTAAATGCATTTTAAAATAATTTTACATTATCCACTCCACATAAAGACATTTTTAGATATTATGTATATTAACATTAGTGGTCTGCAATACCAGGCCTTAACCTTTATATCTGAGAATTTTTTTGGGCCAGGCTGGGCAAAGAAATGAAGTAGACAGACCATGCAAATTTTTTTTTGTATATATATATATACTTGATGAATAAAAGTGTTTTTAATTTAACCACTCCCCTAGATCTTAAATAGTTATTTATTTAAGTTCAACAACATATTTTGGTTTAGGCCTTGCATTTAAAAAAAATTTTAAAATTGGGCTAGGCCAGACAACTTTAGTAAAAAAAATTAAAACTGGTTTGGGCTGAGCAAGAATTTGGCTTGCTGGGAATTAACTAAATTCTCACTGGGCCGGGCATGAGAATTTTGTCATTTGCCAACCACTGATTCACATATATGTTGCAATTATGTGTTCATATTGAAGGTACTATAAATAAATTCTTCATTAATATATCCTATAAAAATAATATTAAAATAAATAAGCTCTAATCAAAACAAAGATAAATTTCTGATTCACACCTCATAAAATAGGTTAATTTATGATTTATCTAATCAAATAATAAAGAGGACATTTCTGACCCATCATCAAATAAAGAAGAAATTTATTATTCTCCATCATTCTTGACAGGTTATCTGCTTATATAAATATAACTATTTTTATATATAAAAAATACTATTATAATAAGACCTCTATAAAAAGATGATAGATATTAGGGCTGTCAGATGCTTCAAATAAGTTGAGAGCCCAGTCCTTATTTTTTATTTCATACTGAACAGCAAAAATGTGATTTACTCTAATTTCTAAAATAATATTAAAAAAAATCAAAATTATAATAAATAATTTTGATTATTTTCTACTGAAACTATATCAATGAATTTTTTTTTGTTATGAAATTTATATCAGAAAGTTTACAATCTTCTAAATAATTTATGCTTATTTATGAGCACATATATTCTGGAACCTTCAGAAAATGAAAAATATCTATGTAATGATAGCCCCTTATATGTTGCTGATGGAGAGTAAAGTATATATTAAAATAAAGCATTATTGTATTTAAATAAAATATGTTAGCAAAGTATATATTTTGTACCTTCAACTATGCAAATGTTAGTAATGGATAAATCAAAGTTTTTATTTAATGTAAGCTAAATGATTGAAATACGTTTATTTCATAATAATTTCTATTCAGATTTTAAAATTTTAAAATGGTTAGCTGAATTGAAAGACTCTTAATTTAAATATCTTTATTAAGATCCATTAATATTATCACTATAAAGTTAAATGTTAAAAAAGTTGTGATAAAAGCAAAATATAATTTAAAATTTTTATGAATAATCACAATATGCATAGTAGCTCAAGCTCAAAGCATTGCTTTTGAAATGGAGGTTCCGGGTTTGATACTAATAGATGGCAAAAAAATTAACATTACCCTATAATAGTTTCCTTAAATTTATTAGGTTAAGATGATACGAAAACGATCATGTTTATATTATGGACATTATATATATTAGATTATAAAATACCTTTTATTTTAAGAATGATATATACAAAATTGTTTAGAAATTTTCTTATTACAGTGCCATGAATAACCTCTTTCAAGCATAGGCAATAATTTATTTGCCACTTCTTAAACTAATAAAATATTCATATTTCTTTATTAAAATTAATGTATAAAAAATAACATAAAATTATGTTTATATAATTGAGAAAACTTAGATTTTATATATTGATTTTCCTAGATTTTTTTGTTGATCATTTTGGATTCAATAGAAAATATTTAAACCCTTGGAAATCTTTCATCTGTATGGTTGATATCAAATGGCTCTATTAGTTGACCTTGAAAAACCTATTTTAGCGTTTGCTATAGCCACCAAATTTATAATTATTGGGTTCTTTTGTTCATATAATATATAAGATGCACACTTTTTATACAAGTATTTAAAATATAAATTATATTTTAGACCCATTTTAACTAGTTGGGGAATACCCCGAAAGGAGCTAGTTGATCAGATTATGCATTTCTCTTTAGATTACTGCATTCACATTAGACCCCTGCGAATTTTTTTTGGCCCGGTCCTTATCCAATATACTTATTAATTTTATTTTTAAGCTCGAACACGACTTGAAATTTTTTATTTTTCTTATATCTTTACACTTTTTTATGAAGCAAAATATTACTAATTGCTTTGTACAGAGCCATACCATGTCAAATCGACAAAAATAGACGCATTTTCAGCCGACCCCTTTTAAAATTGTTAAAAATTTCTGGAATTATTTAGATAGGTAAAAAAAAATGAGAAAGCCATTTATTTTAGCAGCATACCGGGTCAGCGAGATGCAGGGCCTTTAGAGAAATTCTAATTGTTATTTTATTTTGAAAAGAAAAACATCATTTTTTATATTACTTTTTTAAAATATTTTTATAAGCCTGTTTGACCCGACGCAAATTTTTGAAATTTTTTGGACTTGAGTCCAATTTCTGCTTTGTTCCTGATTGCATCAACTTGGACACCTTATTTTACCTATTTTCAAAAATAATAGTTTAAAAATTAAAAGAATTTTTTTTAATGCGGTTGAAATAAAAATAAATTATTATAATATAACTATCTATCCTTTATTTATTATCACTTTTAAAATTAATTTTTTTTAAGGTGAACGATTTTGTGAAGGACAAGTTTATCTTGCATTACCGAAAAAGGTTGCCCCTATGGAGCGAAATAGTATCTGGCGGATGCGTAAGTTATTCCTGTTTAAGAATGAAGAAAGAGGGAAAAAATAAATAAAAGAAGCTGCCAAGAAAAAATAAGAAATAATAAACAATACAAATTATTAGGGGTGTGCCGATCCATATATTTTTCACCGATCCGATTCGTTATTTTCTAATATTGACTAAAAAATGATCCGATACCTAGCCGATATTTATATTGATTTTTCACCACCCCACTTTGAACCAAATGTAATTAAGAAATCAATATTTTTCATGCAAAAAATCGAATTATGCATTTAATTTAATTTTTTTATTTCTACAATTTGCAAAATTATCTTTGTCTTTTGTAAAATATTTCTATAATTCAGATACCATATTTAAAAAAAATTCTTTTATTTTAAAGTATTTCTTTATTTGAACGTTGGTCATAGACTTGCCCAAGGGTGAGCGTACGTGAATTATATAAAGGCCCATCCTTCATATAATTATGCCGATTTTTTTTCTCAAGGATACCAACAAACCTTATAACCCAGATATGAGGTTATATGAAGGTGGAACTACATCCGAGCCATATATATGTTTAGTAATGAGTATAGCAAAGAAAGAAGTAGAATATAAGAATAAAAAAGAAAGGCCCTTCCTTCCAAAAAACTTATGTAATTATTTTAATTTAATAAATTTAAGAAATTTGTAAATATTAAATTATAAATAATAAAATTGGCGTTATTATTTAAAAAGATTTAAAATAAAACTTTGGGTGTTCCTTTCTATTTTTATAAAAAAAACTTTTAAAACTATATAAATCTATTTAAAAAATTAATAAAATTTAAGGGTGTTGTGCATTTGCATAGTTTAAAAAAAAATATTTAGAAAATGTAAAATAAATATACATAAAATAACAAAAAAAAAAGAAAAGTAAAAGGATCGGATCGGGTTTTTACAGGCATTGGCCCGATCCGATATTATTGGAAAACGTTAAATATCGGTGCCGATCCGATATTTCGGCACAGCCCTACAAATTATTCATTTAGAGTTTGAACCAAAAACAAAATTTGTTTAAAAATAAATTAACTATACAATTAGACATAACAAATAAAAGTTTCCTCTTGGATATATCAATGGCTTCTGCGTTAAATGTTAAAGAACGCCCAATAGAATTGCTAATTTATTTATGATGGTGTAAAACATACCCTGGCTTTTGGAGACTATAGGGCCTAACAATGCTTGCTATTAATTGGAATGAAAAGATAGTTTGCGAAGCAGCTCAAAATATTTATTTATTTGGTGGCTTTTTTTGCTTTAAAACAAAGTCTGAGTCAGAATTGGGAGGAGAAAATTTTAAACAGGAAAATCTCATATATTAAAGTTTGAGATTTTTTTAAATATTTTTTTGTTTTTGGATCAAGGCCACTTATATACATAACGGATAATTTCATTTTAAAATAAATAAAAGGCCGGAGCCTCTCAGGTAATTTTTACAAACCCGATGGAGATAGTGAAAATACGATTACAAATCTCTAATTTAAATGCCCTCGAAAGCGAACATGCAACTACCTCATCGACCTCTAAATCCAAAGTTCCAAGCAAAACGGCCTTTGGTATCGTGAAAGAGTTGGGCTTTCGTCGGTTATACACGGTTTTTTTTTAATTTTTAAGCTTGGTTGATTACAGTTGGTAGAATTAATCGGAATATCTTTCCGATTATGACCATAATAGTTGGATTGACAGGTTTGTATAGATCCCTATTGTATATCAACTTTAGTTTGATAATCTCTTAACTAATTTAATGAGAAATAGCTAGATTTAACTCCGAATTTGAAAAAGGAATGAAAAAAATAAAAAGAAATAATTGCTACAACAAAATTTCAATATTCTTAAAGTATGGAGCAAGCTAAAAGTAGTGAAAGTCAATGGTCCGGATTCTAAACTCTCCAAAAACTGGAATTTTTTTTAAAAAAAAGTAGTCATTGGAATTCGTATCGAGTTTAGAAACAATATTTTTCTGTTTATTGAGTAGTATGAACTTGGACCGTTAACCTTCGCTGGCTAAAAGACTTAGACTCAACATAAATATTGTAACCGATCTCTCTATCATTGACTATAGATAAAACCTTAAGAAATTTAACTTTTTTATGAACCGTATATTAATCGTAGGTTTTAAGCATTATAAAAGATCCACCTAATTAAATTGATATATTAATATATTCCAAGGGGTTTACAAAAAACGTTGCGTTTTGAAATTTTTATAATGAAAATAATGCCTGTTTTTTTAAAAAGATTTAATACAAGCGTACTTTGAAATATTTATTTATATACAATTATAGAATTACCAAAATATATATTAGATAAGCCCCTATATCTATTATTGTATAGCCAGAGTTTGAAATAAAAGTTTCTAAGATTTTTAAACATTTTTTTGATCAAATTTTTAATCATCATGAAAGATTTTCACTACAGATTTGCTCATAAAAAATTTTTTATAAATGGAATTATAGGTAAAATTTGATCAAAAATCCTGTTTGAGCTCTCAAAAAAAATCTTCATTTTTATAAATCTTTGTTGATTTTTTATTTTGAGGAGCATTTTAAACTATCTATAACATTTAATAATCTCATTCTCCACGGATCGAACGCTAACTTTAATTTTTCTTGCGAAATTAAGGACCATATTTCATGAATTTATTAATCAAGTTCTAAAGAGTATAGTCGATATTTATAAGCTAAAGTTTTTTAATTCGTTTCACACTAATATGGTAGCTATGGATCAGAGGCCTTTATGAATCCCGTATTTTGAAGTCGCCTTAAAGCTCATTGAACTGCACGAATATATTTCACCTCTTCCTAGGGTATTCAATTTAGCAATTAAACTTGGTACGTTCTGATTTTTTTTCCTCATGGCATAATTAAATCAGCACAAGATCTTTTTTAAGAACATTTTTAATATACAAAATTTTCGTTTAACATTTTTGCGGGGATCCGAACGGTAACGAATATCGGTTCGGTTTATTCAGATTAAAGGTTTATGGTTCAGGTTCTATTCTATTTGTGAAATATAAAAATATCAGTTCGGTGGGAACCTTTAAAAACCGGTTTGAACCTTTTCGTGCAATCGTGTTAGAATTATATAAAGAGAATAGAGGTGTGTCAATCCCCAAATGCTTCAACGATCTGATATTTTCCGATATGAATATAAAACCAATGTGACTAACGATCCGTTGTTTATATTGAATTTTATTTACCATCTATCTTTTAATCCTTTCCATAAATACCCAACAAACTTTCACTGATTAAGTGTGTTTTTAAAATATCATTAACCTTTATGGTTGAATGTAGTGCTGTTTTACGCCTTGATTTACCTGATTTTTAAAAATGGCTAATTTTAGCAAAATATTATTACATATGCCTCGAAATTTCACTAATCGTTGTCCAAACCTTTGTACCATCCAAAATCTCATTTTTCTTGGCTAAAATCTTGAGTTTGCCATTATAAAAAATTGACAGAATGGAGCCGTCCAACATTAATAGAATGTGACTTGTTAAAAAATTTTAAATCATTTTCTTGTAGTTTGTATTGTATAACATTACTTTTAAAATGATTGGAGATTTTTTAAACTTTACAAATAAATTGAATTTTAGCTATTTTTATGAATGTATTATTATTAGTACTGTAAACATTTCTAAAAAAAATCGAACTCGTTCGCGTTCAACGTTCATTGACAAAAATCGAACGCCAAGTTCATGTTCAAAAAAATAGAACGCGTTCACGTCCATAAAACTGTTCAAAATTTTATGATAAATTTTTTTTAAATTTAATTTAATATAAATAAACTTATATTTTTTTTTTACAATATATTTTGGCCATTTAAAAAATAATATAGTTTTATTTTGATAATATAATTATAAATAAAATATAATATAGCGAATAAAAAGATATTTTTATTAATAAAAAAATTTTCTTATTAAATTTTAATAACAATTGTTAAAATATTTATCTGATAGACAGGAACACTTGGCAGTTAATACGGCATTAGCTATACTAAAAACGCGCTCTACAGGGGCAGATGAGGGGATGCGGTATTATACTTAATAAACAGCTCTTTTAAAGTGGAGAATTAATTAAAAAAATATTGTTTTGTTATTTGCAAAAAATTGAGATAAGTTATCCTCCTGACAAAAAAAAAGGATATCTCTAAATTAACAGTTCTCTAGGGTTTTCATAACATTTTTTTTCAATGACGCTATAAGTTTATTTTTAATAGGTTTCTGTGGAAGTTTTATCCATTGCCATTGAAGCTTGAATGCTTGATGTATAATTGCAGAAAGAATATATTGATCCTTATATATATGTTCAAATCTTTAAAAAAATAAAATATATGTAAAGGTTTAATACCTTTTATTAATCCCATTTAATACGGCGTCCATCAATGGTTGACCATATTTGAGGCCACTAATTTTTTTAATTTTAAAATAACTATCGTTATTGTTGGGGTCAAATATCCCAAATGTATTTCTTCAAATTTAATGATTTAACTTAGTTATATCATATAAAATCAAATAATTAATATTAAAGTCAAATGTCGTTTCAAATTAGAACCTGAAGATTTTGACAATATAATACTTTTTGGCCACATTTTACACTTGGTAAGCATTAGATTAGTTCCTTCAATATAGGATGTTAATGTAAAACATTATGGTAATGATAAATCATGAGGATTAAATAATAATATCCATGCTTATGCTAATAAATTAAATTAAAATATAAACAATAATATTCAAATTAATAAACTATGTGTTAAAAAAATTGAAATGTGAAAAGGAAATACACAGCCGATTAAAAAATATAAATAATACTTTTTTTAAAAAAATTTCGAAATATTAAATTTTTCAAATAAATAAAAATAAAAATATTTTTAAAATTGAACTAACGTTAAATTCGAACGCGTTCGTCACGTTCAAATTTCGTCAAAAAATAAAAGGAACGCCGTTCTTCATTTTTTTCAAAATAACGAACTTCGTTTACAACACTAATTATTATTATTATTATGCTATGTATTAAATAAAAAATATTATATAATTATATATACAATCATAAATAACCAGAAACAATGAAAATATCAGACTAGATGAAATATATTATCTTATATCTTATAAAAACACTAAATATCGGCTCCGGTCCGATATTTAATATTGGTACAGCTCTAAAAGAGAAGCCTATTTTTTAATAATTAATATTCGTTAAGAAAATTGAGCCATATGCAATTAAAATATTTTCAAGATTCTATTCTTTCAAATTATCTCTATAAGAAGAATGAATAATTTATATGTCTGAAAATTCTATACGCTAAATTGGGTAGTTGGACACCGTCAAATACCAATATATAAAAATACCTAAAAGTAGTTACTGATACTTATCAATCAAACAATTATTAATAATCATCTTAAAAAGAGAATATTAAAAGGTTCAAATCGGTTCACTGACCTTTTTAGAAATTCGGTTCAGGTTTGAGTGACAAATATTTTAATAGTTCAGGTTCGGTTTAGCTCGATAAATAATAACTTAATACTTGTTTAACGGTTCAGCTTTACTTTAGTTCCATGCATTCTAATAAAAGGCATTTAATAATATAATAAGATTTGTTTGATAACCGAAATATTTAGTGTTATAATTTATGATTATGCAAGTTTTGAAAGAAGGCGAGCGTCCGGAAAGTTCAACCTTATAGGAATTCATCTAGTCATTTTTTTTGAAAAATAATTAAAGGTCTTAGAGTTCTTTTTTGTCAAATGTTAACATTTTTGATCCTAATTTTAAAACTGGGTTAAACAAATTCTAACAAAAATTTCAGGATATAAAGCTTTATAGTTATTTAATAAAATACGAAATTTCTATAAAACAAGCATTTTAAATTTATAAAGATTTAAAACGCAGCCACCTGGTATTTATATATTCCTTAATTTAAATATTACTTTTCACAAGTTTTAATAGGTAATCTACGAAAATCATCCCCAAAATGAGTTATAACTAGTGTTGCGTAATCGGCTAAAACTACGCCTAAACCTAATTAGGCTAAGTCTAAAAATCGGCTAAGCCTAATCAGGTTAAGCCTAAAAATCGTCTAACTTAGCCTAAAAATTGGCTAAAATTAAATTAGTCAAAATTCTGCACCGATGCTTAGCATTAATTATTATTTATTTATTTTAGTAAAATAATTTATTTTATTTATATTTAATGTAAATATTTTATTATTATTATCAACAAATAAACATATGATTTAATATTTTTTATTTATATTATTATATTTTGAAATGAAAATAAATTTATTTATTTGATATTTTTTTAATAAAAAAAATAATACGCTGCTATATTGTAAAAATGTAATATACTTTTTAATATAATTTATTAGTGATCACAATCTTCTTTGTAAATACATCTTTTATTGAGGAATTATATTGTAAATTTTATTAGATAAATAAACAATCTTTTAGGTGAAACCTTTTATCATTTTTTTTATCATTTTTTTTAAATTATCTATTTTTTATTAATTGAAGGTGGATTTTATGAAACTTTTTTGATGTTATTTTATATGATCTTTTTAAGGATAATATTTTAATGTGACAATTGTCATAATCGTTATTTTATAAGTTTTTTGAATTTTTTTGAAGAAAATATGTTAAAATAAGTATTAATAACATGTGTAAATATAAATTTAGTGAAGATGTACTAATGAAAAGTGACAATTGTCATAATCGTTATTTTAAAATTTTTTGAATTTTTTTTACGACAATATGTTAAAATAAGTATTAATAACATGTTTAAATAAAAATTTAGTGAAGATGTACCATAGAAAATTGACAATTGTCATAATCGTTATAAGTTTTTTGAAGAAAATATGTTAAAATAAGTATTGATAACATGTTTAAATAAAAATTTAGTGAAGATGTATCAATGATTAGTGACAATTGTCATAATCGTTATTTTTAAAGTTTTTTGAATTTTTTTGACGAAAATATGTTAAAATAAGTATTAAAAACATGTTTAAATAAAAATTTAGTGAAGATGTACCATAGAAAAGTGTCGTTATTTTATAAGTTTTTTGAATTTTTTTGAAGAAAATATGTTAAAATAAGTATTAATAAGATGTTTAAATAAAAATTTAGTGAAGATGTATTAATGAAGAGTGACAATTGTCATAATCGTTAATTTTTAAGTTTTTAGAATTTTTTTTAACGAAAATATGTTAAAATAAGTATTAATAACATGTGTAAATATAAATTTAGTGAAGATGTACCATAGAAAAGTGACAATTGTCATAATCATTATTTTTAAAGTTTTTTGAATTTTTTTGACGAAAATATGTTAAAATAAGTATTAATAACATGTGTAAATATAAATTTAGTGAAGATGCACCATAGAAAAGTGACGATTGTCATAATCGTTATTTTTAAAGTTTTTTGAATTTTTTTGACGACAATATGTTAAAATAAATATTAATAACATGTGTAAATATAAATTTAGTGAAGATGTACCAATGAAAAGTGACAATAGTCATAATCGTTATTTTTAAATATTTTTGAATTTTTTTGAAGAAAAAATGTAGTGAAGATGTACTAATGAAAAGTGACAATTGTCATAATCGTTATTTTTAAAGTTTTTTGAATTTTTTTGACGAAAATATGTTAAAATAAGTATTAATAAGATGTTTAAATAAAAATTTAGTGAAGATGTACCAATGAAAAGTGACAATTGTCATAATCGTTATTTTTAAAGTTTTTTGAATTTTTTTGACGAAAATATGTTAAAATAAGTATTAATAACATATGTAAATATAAATTTAGTGAAGATGTACCATAGAAAAGTGACGATTGTCATAATCGTTATTTTTAAAGTTTTTTGAATTTTTTTGACGAGACAATATGTTAAAATAAATATTAATAACATGTGTAAATATAAATTTAGTGAAGATGTACCAATGAAAAGTGACAATAGTCATAATCGTTATTTTTAAATATTTTTGATTTTTTTGAAGAAAATATGTTAAAATAAGTATTGATAACATGTTTAAATAATAGTGAAGATGTACCGTAGAAAAGTGACAATTGTCATAATCGTTATTTTTAAAGTTTTTTGAATTTTTTTGACGAAAATATGTTAAAATAATAAGATGTTTAAATAAAAATTTAGTGAAGATGTACTAATGAAAAGTGACAATTGTCATAATCGTTATTTTTAAAATTTTTTGAATTTTTTTGACAAAAATATCTTAAAATAAGTATTAATAACATGTGTAAATTTAAATTTAGTGAAGATGTACCAATGAAAAGTGACAATTGTCATAATCGTTATTTTTAAAGTTTTTTGAATTTTTTGACGACAATATGTTAAAATAAATATTAATAACATGTGTAAATATAAATTTAGTGAAGATGTACCAATGAAAAGTGACAATAGTCATAATCGTTATTTTTAAATATTTTTGAATATTTTTGAAGAAAATATGTTAAAATAAGTATTGATAACATATTTAAATAAAATTTAGTGAAGATGTACCGTAGAAAGTGACAATTGTCATAATCGTTTTAAGTTTTTTGAATTTTATTGACAAAAATATTTTAAAATAAGTATTGATAACATGTTTAAATAAAAATTTAGTGAAGATGTACTCTAGATAAGCGACAATTGTCATAATCGTTATTTTTAAAGTTTTTTGATTTTTTTTGACGAAAATATGTTAAAATGAGTAATAATAACATGTTTAAATAAAAATTTAGTGAAGATGTACCATAGAAAAGTGACAAATTTTTATAATTTAAAAATTAGCGTCATTCAAATAACACCTCTACTGCTATCTCATAAATAAATTATTTACAAAACCACATTTAAAAATTCATAAACAACACTTAATATGAATAAAAATCACCTTTAAAAATTATAATAAATAAAATTTATTAATATTTACATCAAATTTTATGAAAAAATAGGGAAAAAAATGTCGAGTTAATTATTGATCAATCAAATTATCTTTAGCTTAAAAAAAATAAATATTTGTAATTTAATTTTTTAATTTATAAAATTAATTATAGCATTAATTTTAACCCATTTGCTTCAAAAAACATAAAAATAACGATTATGACAATTGTCGCTTATCTAGAGTACATATTCACTAAATTTTTATTTAAACATGTTATCAATACTTTTTAACATATTTTCTTCAAAATCTTTAAAAATAACGATTATGACAATTGTCACTTTTCATTGGTACATCTTCACTAAATTTATATTTACACATGTTATTAAAACTTATTTTAACATATTTTCCTCAAAAAAATTCAAAAAACTTTAAAAATAACGATTATGACAATTGTCAATTTTCTATGGTACATCTTCACTAAATTTTATTTAAACTATCAATACTTATTTAACATATTTTCTTCAAAAAAATTTAAAAAACTTTAAAAATAACGATTATGACAATTGTCACTTTTCTAATGTACATCTTCACTAAATTTTTATTTAAACATCTTATTAATACTTATTTTAACATATTTTCTTCAAAAAACTTATAAAATAACGATTATGACAATTCTCACATTAAAATATTATCTTAAATAGATCATATAAAATAACATCAAAAAAGTTTCATAAAATCCACCTTCATTTAATAAAAAATAGATAATTTAAAAAAAATGATAAAAAAAATTATAAAAGATTTCACCTAAAAAATTGTTTATTTATCTAATAAAATTTACAATATAATTCCTCAATAAAAGATGTATTTACAAAGAAGATTGTGAAATTCACTAATAAATTATATTAGAAAGAATATTACATTTTTACAATATAGCAGCGTATTATTTTTTTTATTAAAAAAACATCAAATAAATAAATTTATTTTATTTGTTGATAATAATAAAATATAGGGCTATGCCGATCCACATATTTTTTACCGATCCGATCCGATATTGGTTCAAAACCGATCCGATATTTATATTAATTTTTTACCACCTCTCTTTGAACCAAATGTAATTAATAAATCAATATTTTTTATGCATAAAAGAATTATGCATAATTTAATTTTTTTATTTCAACAATAATTTTAAAAAAAATATATTATAATATATTAGATTTTTTTTAATAAATATAAGAGCCTCTAGATTTTCAGGCAATAGGCTTCTACGATGAGGACTATCAATATCCCCTGCCGTACTGAAGGCAGACTCAGATGGGACACTTGTTGCTGGAGGAGCCAAAAATTTACGTGCAAGTGTTGATAAAGTTGGAAATTTTACAGCATTAACTCTCCAATATTCAAGTGGATTCACTGGGGATATAATATTAATATCATCAATGTTATTCGAGTTTTCTAAATAAATAACACAAATATAAAATTAGCATTTATAAAATAGTGGGTTTCATACAAACCCAATCTTTTGTTGATTTTGAAAAATCACCCAAACAAATGGGTCAATCATAGCCCAACCAAGCAATATTTAAATTAATATGAAAAATATATTGTCATACTTTCTATATATGGTGTTATTTTTTTAAAAAATTAAAAATAAATAAAACTTTGGGTGTTCCTTTCTATTTTTATAAAAAAACTTGTAAAATCTATTTAAAAAAATAAATAACATTTGCATTGTTTAAAAAAAAATTATTTATAAAATATTATTAATGTAAAATAGAAACTCGAAAAAATTTATTTTTTTTTAAAATATTTTAAAAAAATTTTTTTTATTAAAAAATAATAATTCAAAGTTTCATTACTCAAAAGTTTTATAAGAATTGCATTTTTAGTAAAAGGATCGGATCGGGTTTTTTACAGGTATCGGGCCGATCCGATATTTTTGAAAAACGCCAAATATCGGAACCGATCCGATCCGATATTTAATATCGGCACAGCCCTAATAAAATATTTACATTAAATATAAATAAAATAAATTAATTTACTAAAATAAATAAATAATAATTAATCGATGCAGAATTTTGACTAATTTAATTTTCCGATTTTTAAGCTTATCTAATTATGCTTAGCCGATTTTTTCACCTAAAATCTCGGCTAAGCCATTTTATAGTTAGCTAAATTTAGCCGATTACGCAACACTAGTTATAACATAAGGAAGTATTAATAACTGGCTTTAAAAATTTATCAATTTTCATATATCTAATAAAATTACATCTGATGAGTACTATGGTGTTCTATATCTATATCCAATTTTTTGCAAAATACAATATTTTACACAAATCAATATAGACTAATATATTATTCCATATCAAAATATTAAAATATAATTAAGAATAATCTTTTATTTTCATTATCCACATTTTTATCTACTATTTAAAATATAAGAAATATTTATCTAAAAATGCTCTCCAGAAAAATATTGAAAGATGGATATAGAAGACTATAATACTCAGCGCTAATATTTTTTGAATTGAAATTAGTCAACCTTGACGCAAGAATAAAATTTTTAGAATACGGGATCAATAAAATAAACATTTATTTGTATTCTATATACATAAGGGTGCCCACGCATGTCTCATGCGTGATTTACCGTTTAGTGCCATCTACTTCCCAACTTATGCCCATTTGAAAATTTATTTCTGTTCTATTGGAGAGATCTCAAACGTGCGCAAAGGCCATGCTTCTAAATCAACAAAACTTGCTAACGAATCGAAGGATCTAGATATTTTGAATACCAAAAATGGTCAACTTGATAACGACAAAACTCTCGCAGACCATAAAAACGAAACACCATTAAACCTCCTATGTAAATTATTCGAAATAATTTTAACTAATATATTTTTTTTGAGTTTATTATTAAAAACGAATTTAAAGCAAAGGTTATTTAAAAAACATTTAACTGTTATAAAATATCGGCCATTTATATACAAATTAAAAAATAAATAAACAACTGAATAAAAAAAGAATTAAATTAAAAAAAAACAATTAAGAGATCGGCTTACTTGCATTGCTATATGGAGCCATGAATTGAAATGCAATTACTTTGATATATAGCCATTATAATGGCTTGAAATAGAAAACTTACTTTTCTACCTAATAATGTGATAAATTTAAGGAATAAATCATCATTCCTATTTTTTTTAAAATTGCATTTCTATTATCATTTATATTTTTTTTATCGCCTCTTTTATCTTTAAAAAATTCAAAGACGAGGATGAAGAACAAATTTGCAGTGCGCCAAAGGCCCACAACCACGTAGGCATGTTATGGGCCGCAACTTTGGCCGGGATACCTGCGGCTGCCTTGGTTACCCCCGCGGATGTCGTCAAAACACGTTTGCAAGTCGAAAGGAAGGTTAATTTATTGCAAAATTTAGAAGTAGGTTTCAAAGGAATCTCAAACGGAAATAATAATTTCGGAGTAATAAACACTTTTGCCAGCATCGTCAAGAACGAAGGCTTTGGAGCCCTCTGGAAAGGAACTTTTGGTGAGTGATTCAAATTGTATATTTTTTCAAAAACTATTCATACCTTCAATTTTCTTTTCCCTGACCCTGGATATATCGCATATAGTTTCTTTCCTTTTATTTACATATTATACCCATGAAATATCATTAGTATCTTCTTAAAATAATTGCAAACGACCTTTAAAAATCATTTGTGAGCAATATAAATCCCTCTTTTTTAGCGAAGCCGAAATAATCCTTTATAATTTTCTGAATCAAAATCTAACCGTTATAACAAGTATTAAAAACGAACCAAAACGTTATTTATAAGACGGTTTTTAAATTTATATTTATTTATATATTTTAATTGATTAGCATAAAGTGATTCTTTCTAAAGATTGTTAGTATAACTTTTTTCATATCTAAAAAATTGAAAAAACTATTTAAATTAAGTCGACTTAATGATTAGGATCAATTTAAAAAAATATATAAAATATAATTCGCATATTTTTCCTTGTGGATTATAAAATATTATTTTTAAATTTATTTCTCCTAATTATAAATTTTGATGATTATTTAATCTCCATACTTTTTTTTAACTTTTTTTTTAATACTATGCTTTTTTATTATTATCTATCAAATAAAATTATATGAAAATTAACATATCAAATATAAAATAAAATAAAACCTTATTCTATATAAACGGAGGTGGGACTACAAGTTCCCAAAAAACAAGAATAATTATATTTTAAACTTACTAAGTTATTTTAGCCTTTGTTGATTTATTTTATAAGCAAACAAAATATGGGTATTCGTGGGAAATAGATGTTATCACATCAGAGATCTTCATGGGTGGGTCGGCCCACAGGCACCCGCACAAGTCCATACCCGATATTACATGTTTTAGCGGGCCTGGTGGGTTGGGCCTAATTTTTTAATTTTTTTAAATGGGCTTGCCTGGGATTGGGTGCTTATTAAATTAGTTGCTAATTAAAAAAATATATTACACTTTTTTTCTTCTAATAATAATTAATTTTAATATTGTTTTTATTTTTTATTAAATAGAATAATTATAAAATTTTGGATATGGGCTTCGGATTTTTTTTGAAACTTATCAATGGCCTGGAATTTTTTTTAAAATATTAAATGTGGGCCGGGCCTGGGCTTACATTTTTTTACTGCGAGCCTGGGCCGGGCTTGATCAAAGAATTAACGCCCAGAAGGTCTCGTATCACAAACATTTCATTTATCAATTAATGATTGTAGAAAATTCAGAGTAAGTTTTAATTATGAATGAAGCCCAACCCTTGTGTAAAAAAAATTTGTAATCTAACTAGGATGATGATTTTAAAGTTTAGAAACTGAAATTCTACCTATCTCTTTTTAGAAAGGTTGATAGGATAGAAATTATTTTGCTAGGAATCACTCAGGATAATGATCTTTATAAAAATTTATAAGGAGACGAATGGAAATGAAATAAGGTACATTAGAGCACTTGAATTTATATTTTGATAAAATACTTACAAACTGAGTAAATGTGCCATAATCGAGCAAAATTAATTATCCCTTTGGCTACCTTCAAGTCACCCACCTCGATAAAAGCTACTAAAAAATTTATTAATAAAGTGTATTTATTGCATAATGATATATCTAGATTCACGGTTTTTTTTATCAAAAAATGAAAAGAAGATGTCGAGAAAGCATCCATAAAAATTAATTCAATATTCAAATGATGAATGTAAATTGGCAATATACCTACACGATCTTCTAATTCATATGTAATCATAGAATATGATTTTGAGAGTTTTCTAAAGTCCCAAGAAATTTCCAATAAAAAATTTTGAAGAACTAGAGGCTAGGCATATTAGATCAATAATTAATTCAATTCTTTGTCAATATGGAAAGACTAGGAAAAATGCTGATATTTTAAATTATTCAGAAAGTGTAAAAATGAGAGCCTGCTAACTTTCAACTACTCAAACAAGTGTCAGTGGAGAGGGCATTCTTCAGTTGAAAGTTTATATTTTCCGCGCAAAGAACAAAATTTAATCCGCATATATTAAAATATTATTTATAATAAAGGATGAGAACACGTATTACCTTTTAAAATAGGCTTTAAATGTAAAACTATGATTAAAAAGAGAAAAAGAATGGAAATTTAAAAAATATCGAAGGAAGTAGCAAAGAGAATCTAAGAGAAAGTTGGATTAAGTATGCACAAATTATTCGATTGAAGAGATAATAATTACTGTAGTAAAAGCTTTGTCGTAAAGAGATTCTTTGGGCTGATCAGTATTTTCGTAGATCCGTCTCCCTATTTTTTTTTAAAAAGCTTTGAGATTTGCTATCAAGCAAGTTATGGGAAGGAATACATAAGACCGATCGATATAACATTATTTAATGATTTAACGAGATTAGGCAATTGTTCGGGCATCGACCTTATGCTTGGATGGGACATTTGGATAAATGCAGATAAAACCAGAAGCTGGGCCCTTTACCAAGGAATTGAGGACATTCCATTTGGATGATTCCTATTAGTTCTAAAGATTCTGCTTGGTGAGCTAGAGAGGATGCCGTGGATTTAAGTGCTGTGCTCGTAAAATAAGGACGTTACATTTGGTATGCCGCGGGAAACGGACTCTGAAAAATCGGCAGTGGAGGCAATTCCCCTTGCTGTCAACACTGGTTTCACAGTGTTTGCATTGGCAAGGCAAAACGAAATCTCAATTTACCCATAGTTCAATAGCAACTTTATTCTTCTGTGCAGAAAAGCTAATCGAGATTCTTGGGTCATGTGGTTTAGTGAGATCGTCATCATATAAATTATTTCAGCCATGTGACGGAGCGTTTTTAAGGGGAGTATCCCAATCTTTCCGTAAACACGAGGAAGGTATTTAAGTTTTAAAAAAATCCAGGCGGCAAAATGAGACAGAATTTTTATATATTAGGCAAAAAATTTAATTGAAATTTTTAGAAGATATAAATATTGCATATCTACAATTAATTATACAAATCTATTATTTTAATATAGTTTTAATATATGTTATCTTATAAATAATTTTAATAAATAATAAGAAAAAGAAAAAGAAAAGCTAAATTAAATATAAAATAAATTGGTAGATCAGGTATGTATTAATAATTAAATTTAAAGGGCGATTCACACTAGTTTTGCCGGCCCGGCCCGATTTTATTTAAATATAGAAATTAATTTTTATAATTACTCAAAATATACGATATAGGTTATATGTAGGCCTACAAAAAAACGAATCGAATCGAATAATACTATTATTAGTTTTCGATTCGAAAATTCGAATCGAATAATTGCGCTATTCGTATTCGTACGAATAATAAAATCATTATTCGTTTCGATTCAAATTTTTTTAAAGCTTATAAAATATTTGCAAAAAAATTTTTACAGATGTTTAAAGATGACACTTTTAAGGATTCTCTAAACTAATTGTCATTTTTACATATAAAATATAACAAAATTTTAGAAAGTATTTCATTATAGATTTTATTTATTAAAAATACTTTAGTAGCATAAATTTCCTTTATTTAATAATGTATTGATTTTTATTATTAATATTTTATTAGAGGTGAAGGGATTATGACAAAATAAAATTTTTTAAATTATAATCTATATAAAATATCTACATTTTAAATATTTGCATATAAAATATAACAAAATTTTAGAAAGTATTTCATTATAGATTTTATTTATTAAAAATACTTTAGTAGCATAAATTTCTTTTATTTAATCATATATTTATTTTTATTATTAATATCATTTTATTAGAGGTGAAGGTGATTATGACAAAATAAAATTTTTAAAATTATAATCTATTTAAAATATCTACATTTTAAATATTTGCATTAAAATATAACAAAATTTTAGAAAGTATTTCATTATAGATTTTATTTATTAAAAATACTTTAGTAGCATAAATTTCCTTTATTTAATCATGTATTTATTTTTATTATTAATAACATTTTATTAATTAGAGGTGAAGGTGATTATGACAAAATATTTTTAAAATTATAATCTATTTAAAATATCTATATTTTAAATATTTGCATATAAAATATAACAAAATTTTAGAAAGTATTTCATTATAGATTTTATTTAATATATAAAAATACTTTAGTAGCATAAATTTCCTTTATTTAATTATTAATGTAATTTTTAGAGGTGATTATGACAATGTAATAGAGGATGACGATATTATAATGCACTATCTGAATTAGATTGCCCATAAAATTTGCCAAAAATAAGGTTACTAAATGGGAAAAGGATTTTCCTAATCAAATAATAAGAACTAGTCAAAAAAATTTAGTTATTTATCTGCCAGGAGCTCGAGAATATGGGAAAGAGGCACACTCTATAAAAATGTTTTGACTTGTTCATAACATAGATTAAAGAGAAACAATCAAAATAAAATAATTATATTTTACTTTGAAACTTTTCCTTTTCTTCCATTAAACTTCAGCAAATATAACTTGTTATGATTTGATATTTGATAATAGGAAATAAAATAAAACGAAATGATATCCACTAGGAAAATTTAATTACTTCTTTTTATTATACTTGCAATGAAATATTTGCGAATAATTACGAATATTTATATATAAATAATTTCGAATAATACGAATAATACGAATAATTTTCCTCATTATTCATATTCGATTCGAAATTTCGAATCGAATATCAAATAACAAATAATTCGTTTTAGGCCTAGTTATATGGCATCCACTTTCTATAAATAAAATCACATATTTTTATTTTACATAAAAAATTAACATAAAATTGATAAATTTAGATATATTTGAAAAATTTCTAAAGCCCAACCACACTCGGCCCGAATTTTCTTAAAAAATATTAGGCCCAGCCCGAAATCGGGCCGTGTACGGGCTGGGCCTACTTTTGCAGATCTCTAATTCACACAATTATCTAAATTTAATGTTTCTTTTTAAAGGAAATTTGATTAAATCTTTTTAAAATAATATTCAACAATGAAAAATACTAATTATACAATATATATTTTTTAAAATTTTATTAATAATTTAAAAATAATAAAAACATTTCAAATTTTGCTAAATCATTTAAATAAATATAAATTTATGCTAATCATTTAAATAAATATAAATTTATGCTATTAATTAAAAATAATATACAAATTATGATAATCATCTAAGATAAATAAATATACATTTAACCGTTTTAAACCGGTTCAAATATTTTTATGATGTTTCGGTTCACTCTTTTTAGAATTTTGTTACTAATCGGCGAATTCCTACTATATAGGCTTATTTTTTCCGATTCGGTTCGACATGTTTATTATCCTTAATTTGTTAATTTTTTTTTTATAAAAAATATACTTATTTAAAAAAAAAACTTTTTTCTTCTTATTATACACTTCCAAAGTTTTCGTTAGCTCATCTAATTTTGTTCATCAAACATCTTAGGACAGCTTAAACCTGTGCGCAGCCCGCTCACAATGCGGCCAGTTATTTTTGCCACGTTGAATTTACCGATTGAGTTAAACGTCACCAACAGGCTCGCCGTTAGTGCAGAGTGGGAAATTTAAAAAAATGCTATTTAATTATATAGATTATATTTTTATTTGAATATTAAAATTAATATGAATTTCATTGATATGTCTATATCCTTTCCATTTCCTGTCATTTATTCGCCTAATATATTTTAATAGACTCGAACGGTTTAAAACACCCTGTTTATAATTATGGAATAACTGCTCTCTAATTATATAAAAAAAGCCAATGCTCTCTCTAATAATAATAAAACCAGTCATATTTGGAGATACTTCGGTAAAATAATTTTGAAGAAAGAAAACAAGAAAAGCATTCTAATTTTATGATAATATTTTTTGTGGATCTTACTTAAACTAGCAATAAAACATGATTTATTTTCATAGTAGTTTGTTTAAAATTTTAATTATTATACAAATTAAATTCGAAGACTTTTTGCCGAATATTTTAATACAAAATTAAGCTTCCAATTGACAATGATATATAAAGGGAGAAAAGGAGAATTGTAGACGAAGCACATCAAGCTTATGTATTACGAAAATAGATCGAAAGCATTTCTTCCTTGATAAAGATTCAAATAGCATTAACAATTTAGAGCAGGAATAATATATTTTACTTGCTCAACATATGTACCAGAAAAAAGATACGTTATGCTCCTGGGAAAAGATAGAAATGTTCTTTGCGTGCCTAACGAAGGATCTTTTCTATCGCTGGATTAATACATATAATAAAAGGACATCTCTATATGTTATATTTTACACTAATCTTGATAAAAACATTTATTCACGATAATTATCATTTAGCGAAATTTAATTTTTAATTTATTAATATATTTCCTAAATATTTTGTTATTATTTGAAATTTATATGATAATATTAAAGATAGTGTTTGAATATAAATTTGTTTAATAATATTATTATAAATCATAAAATATTATTGTAGCCACTGAGTAAAAAGTTATTTTATCATAAATCTATTTTAGGAGAATGAGAAAAAATACCTTATTATATACAGAGTTGGACCCCGAAAAAATTAAGAATTTTAATATAAATCCTTAATATATTATACAAATTACATTTGAATAAATTATTATAATTTATTAAAAATTTTAAAATAACCCACCGCGCCATCAATTTATTAGGCGGTGGCAAATTTGGCGCTTCGACTACTGCAGATAAAAAAATAAAATAAATAGCCACCGCTGATTTATATCTCGGCGCACAGGACTAGAAACAACTGCATCAAAAATAGATTAAAGCTAACGAAAAGTTTAGAAAAACAACCTCAAATGATATTTTTTTAATAGCCAGAGTATGTAGATCTTCCCCTCAATTCGGTGTTACTTTATTCACCTACGAGTTCCTGCAAAATACGTTCGACATCAAATATTAGAGGAAGAAGAGAGAAGGAGCAAATCCCAGGAGCATATTTCATGCTTTAACTTTTAAAGTTCTTATTTTTTTTAACAAAAATTTTGAATATTTTTTTAGAATAATTTAGCCATTGTTTATTATCTAAGGATATTGCTACATTTTTAAATCTGCTCAATTCAATATATCAAAAAAAAATTATACAAGATAAAATTTTAATATTTGTTTATTAGATTCTTTCTCGCCATTCTATTCCTTTCCAATAATTTTATTATCAGCTTGATATTGATGATGTCGTTTCTATCTGTTTTCAACTCCTAATTACGATTCAAAAATTTCTTTAAGATTTTCTTACCCCTATCAATACTTATTAATATTCATTAGAGAATGAATTCTTAATTAACGAATTTCGATAAATAAGTTGTTTGTAATTTATAACATCCTCCCCAATTCAATTTTTTTAAAATTGTATATTACAACATACTATATAATTTATTTTAACTATATTATAAATTGAGAATTTGGGGAAAATTATAATAGTAAGCCATGCTAATTATGTTTTTCAGGGTACACAAACCCATTATTTTAAGTACATATGCGTATATATATATATATATTGATGCCCAAATTAATTGGATTGTACATATATATTTTTAAATGAACTTAAAAAATTTAAAACACCATTTCTTCCATCCTAAGGGGCCAATGATTCTTAAAATAATCATTTTTTTAAAATAATTATAATATAACATTTAAAATAATTATAATATAACATTTAAAAAAATAATTATAATATAAAAATTCTTAAAATAATCATTTTTTAAAAAAATAATTTTAAATAAAAATTCTTGAAACAATAAATTTTTTAATATAATTACAATATAAAGTGCTGTATAATAATATTTTTTTATACCCTATAAAAACTTATATAACTAGGATTCCTTTTTTAATACCTCTAATAATTTTATATGTCTACGAAGTAAAAAGAATTCCTCCATATAGTACTTTTTTAAAAAAAAAATTATATATTACTGTACTAGTCAATCAAAATTTCTAGAAAAATATAACTTTAATAAAAATCTTACAAATTTTAATTTAAAAAATTCTTATATGCTCATAATATTTTCTTACCAAAATCATTATTTTTTCATAACCTTTTTTTTAAAAAATAGAAATTTATTGGCTTGTAGATATAATGTTAAATTTTAAACATAAATTATTATACAGTCAAAAGATCAATTTTCTTTTATAAGATATAATAATTCATTGCCAATGGTTTCGTCTTTTTTTCTAAAAAATTATTTATTTGTAAAATATATGATTATGTTAAAAATTTTATGTCAATTTGCCCAATTGTGCACCACTTACATATTACAATTAGAATGTTTCAAATTATATATCAAAATTAATATAGTTATATTTTTATATATTTTATAGATCACCAGTTCTTTCTGAATGAAAGTTATTATAAATTATATATACATTTAATTTTTTAAAATGCAAATTCAAAAATAATATTTAATGATTGTAATTTTAAATTATATGCAAATTGTTAATCCTCATTCATTCCATGAAATTCTAATATAAAATATTTTTAACTAGGGTGTGTTTCATAGATTTGGGTTAAGGTTAGATTTATAAAAAAAATCTAATGCATTCAACGTTCACCTTCAAAAGAGGAACAATCATTTAATTAGATATAAATAAATACCTTGAAATTAATATTTTTATTTGATACTACAATATAATAGAGTGAATAAAAAAAAATTTTCTAATATATTAAAACTTTTATCATATAATTTATTATTTATAAAATATCAAATTTATAGTATACGTGTTCAACAATTAAAATGTGAAACACTTGATAAAGACTTAAAGATAATAGCCATTAGATTATAATTTTAAAGAATTTACACTAAAAATAAACACCTCAAGCACTGCGCTTGCCCTCTCACTGTTTCACAGAGAGCAAGACACTTTGATTCTCCTCAGGCAATAATATTTGGGATGCGATTACGATTAGGAATGGGTAAACTGTAATCAAATTTAAAATGTATGAGTTATTATAATAATATAGGAAAACAATTTCAACAAGTCTCACTCTTTGTGAAATAGAATGGGATTTTCTAAAGAATATTTAAAAATCATTGATTAATATTGTATTATCATTATTATTTTGGTACCTTTTATTTGGCCATTAACTAAAAAATATATCGTCACTTGAGAATTCGATTATTTCATCTTCACTTTTTGTAATTTTACGGAAGCACAATTTTAATAATTAAGCTTCTATTGTTTTCAATAGGAACCTTAATCTTATATTGGCTATAATTTAAATTATTTTATAAATATTTCAAATTTTTTTGCGTAAATAGAATAGTATAATTATAAATTGATTTGTCTAAAAAAGTTATTTTTGACAAAAAGTTGATATACAATAATCTAATTCTCAGGCGAAGATATCTGTAATATAAAATCAAATAGGTATGGGGCAAGCTGAAGTTAAGTTGGTGAATTATTTGTGGTTTTAATAAATTAATGGGTAAGTAGTGGAAATGAATTATTTATTTCCACATAATATATATTTGGGTTAATAATATAAAATACTTAAAATGTATGAGTTTTATGGGAAAACTATTTCATATTTTACTTTTTCTGAAATAGATTATCATTATTTTTGGCCATAATAAAAATTATATTTATAACATAATCAAATAGATATGGGGGGAATTTAATAAAGTTAAATTTTTTAAATAACTATTTATTTGTTTCATTTTTTTTCTCATTCTAGGGTATGATAAAAATTTTGTGTTTTAAATTTAAATGAGGTCGCATTTGCATTTTGGTAATGCTGTAAAATTAAATTTCTAAAAATTGCGAAAAAAAATATATATATTGAACTAGAGCTAATAAAAATTATGGGTGGGTATTTTATTTATGAGAAAATATATATAGTGTATATATTTCATTTTGTGTTTAAATTATAATTATATATGACAATAGTATAATAAACACTTTATACCCTATTTTGTATTTGAAATATATTTTTTTTAATAAAGGGAATTTTGTGAGGTAGAGAAATTTATATAATGTAAAGTTATTAATTTGTTCTCGCAAAGCAACAATAAATTTTAAGTTCTTAAGTTACTTTTTTACAAATTTAAGTTTATTACTTTCAAGATATATTATATTCCCTATTTAAAAGTTCTGCTATTATTTGAATATTTCATTTAACATTCATTAAACATGATTATTGTCAAATAGTGCCTATATTACTCTATGGAGGGGACATATGGGAAATAAACAAAAAATAGACGACTCAATCTTTTATCAATAATTGCCTACGAACAATAAAAGATATCTTTTATCCAAGAATCATCTCAAACTCAAATCTTTGGAAAAATTTAAATCATACGCAATAAACATAACATTAAAGCCGATTTCAGTTCCTAGCCCACATAATAAGAAACTGATCATAATCAAGTACATGATGCCATAACATGGCTTTATACATACAAAGAGAAACAGTACTATGGTACTACAAAACTATACAGGATGTGATGAAATTAAATACCGATATGAAACAATTTATAAAATCAACTCCAAGATATCTATCAAAAAACTATTTCTCATCAAAGAGGTATTTCAAATGAAAACTCACAACCTAAAATTTTCGCTCAATCAAGAACAAAAAGTATTATTACCAATACATCTCTAGTAGATTTTACTTGCCTAGACAAATTACTATAAAGATTTAGAATTCAATAGATGCGATTTATGTTCTTGATTTTCATACAATCAAATAGAGGAATCTTCTCAAAACCCATCTGTAATCAATTAGTACTGACACATTAAACTTAAAATTATCCACCACCACCCCCCCCCCACCCTTAAAGTAATTAAATTATGAGTTCTCAGGTATAGGCTCTTTTTTTAACCCGTTATTTTGATTAAGCCTATAGACGTTTAAGCAACATTTTTCGAAATATTGCCCGAACAAGTACATACGGCTTGCCCACAAACATGTGGCCTCTTATTTTTTACTTATACACCCAAATTAAATTAATTCCAATTTAGATGGAAATGAGGGAAACCTAGCATAGCTCTGTTGAACTTTCAACGCTAAGGGGCAAAAGCGCTATATATCACGATCACTATTGTCAAATTTAGTAAACATTTTTATATATTTTGTCCTTTACTATAAATTTATATATCATTCAATTTATATTAATAACTTTGTTTTAAATCAATTTAACTAACGTGTAACATTATAAACTAACACCATGATAAATAATTTTTTGATATATATAACAAATTTCTATATTTAATAGTGCAGTTTTAAAAATGTAGTTTTTAAATAATAAAAAATAAAATGCAGTTTTAGAAATCATTAAAATGAATCAATTTTTTCCCGTAGTATCGCCCGAGTTTGATTTATTAAATATGATTTTCTCTATATATAAAATTAATTGTTTAATGTTTTTTTTTAATATACCAGTCGCTATATTTTGAAATGTTTTACATAGAGTGTGCGTTGCAAAGTTGTTCATTTTCAGCAATCAAACTGGTATCATTAATTAGTGAAACATATCTTCGAAAAATTAATCATTATAAAAAGATACTACCTAAAAATTTGAAAACAAAATATAGTTGCATATTTTGGAAATCGTTTTTTTTATTTTAAATAAAAATAAATTTTTATCCTTATTCCTATCTTAAATTAATAAATATAATTTATAATAGTTTACGTTCAATACTTTATACTTGGGTTTGTTAATAAATGTAAGTCAAAGAACAATTAAATTGGTAGATTGAAAATAAAATTAAACATGAAATCTATATGTAATAACCAGCAGGGGCGTCGCTAGCCTTTACAATCTCAGGGGGCTCAACTAGAAAAAATTTTATGGGGGGCGAAACCCCCATGCCCCTCAAAGGGCCGGGTAAAATTTTTTATATTGAATTATATTTCTTAAAATTTGCTAACTCAACAATTATTCTGAATATCAAATTTTGTCATTTATTATATTATGTATACAAAATAAACTTGCATATAAATAATTAAACAGTATAAGATATTTCTAAAATACAGTATAAAATATTTTCGATTGCTGATATAAAAAAATTTTGCGTCTAAAGAATTACAAGTGATGAAAAAGGTTAATTAATTCATACGTATGCCTCAATTGATAATGGTTTTTAAATTCTTAACAACTTACATTGACAAAAGGTCATGAAACTAATATAATTCTCTGTTACCATTTTAGACAATGTTTTATAGAATGGAGGTAAACTGATAAAATATTCTCTTATATTTAGTCAGGGGCGGACTGGCGACGCTACGGCCTCGTGGGCATTTTTTTTATAGCGGCCTCATTTATATGGGGTCTTCTTCCCCATACTTCCATTTTGTGGGCCTTCGGCCCGCTTTTGCCCGGTCTTCGACCGGGTTCCCTTAAATGGCTTCTTATTTTTTGAAAATAAGTTCAAACTTTTTACATTTTTAGTAAAAAAAAGAATAGTATTATACAATAATCATATATTTTATTTAAAAAAAATGCACATTTAAAATCATATTCATTACCTATATAAAATAATATTCATCTAAAATATATATTTTATATTAGATTTACAACGATATTGCACTATAAAATCAAATCACACATCACATGTTAAATATAAAAAAAAATGCA